TGTCCAGCAAAGGTGTGAGGCGGAGATTAAATCAGCACAACAAACGCACACCGTTTCCTCCAGTTCTACAAGCCAGTGTCTTCTTAAGGTAAATGTTTGCTGAAGCTCCAGCATCTTTGGATTTCTTCCAGTTGGCCTATTTGTAGAGTTCTTGTGTGTTTAGCGAAGTAGAAAGTTGATGGAAGTCTCTGTGGGTTTCCACTTTAGACCAGCATTTTCTTTAATGCAAAGCCGAAGGCATCTTCTGGTTCATACAGAAGTCTGGCATTTGTTCCAAATACAGTGAAAGCAGTTTCAGTTTGGAGAGCTTGTGAAATCCTGCTTTCTATCTACATTGCCTCCAGTAGCGGTCACTGTGACACAAGAAGTCATTGAAAAGCAGTTAACTTGGTTGACCTCTTTGTGATTAATTCTTGAGTGGAGCGTGCCCATTGAAATACAACCAGTCTTTCTTTCTCACTTTTAATCATGCATTAGATACTTAACACGCCAGATTGCACTTTGCTACAGTTAGCCTGGAGTGGCTGCCTCAGTAGGCCCATACTGATTCCATCTTGCCCAGATCCAAGAGCCAGAAGCTTCCCTTTTGTAACCAGCTGCCGGTCTCTGCTTAAATAGAAGGCCAAGACCCCTGATGCCGGCTGTAAGGCCAAGCTTCACCTGTCAGCAACACAATTGATTCCCAAGTCACCAGGTGCCCGAACAATTAGACTGTTCCATTATCCACCCCAGTACTGGGGATCAGCCCTCACTGGACAAATACCAAGAGAGTCTGGGAGATAATCCAGAGGGGAGGTGCTTCACTGCAAAAGGAAAGCTGAAGGTTTTTCTCCTCCACTGCAGAAACAAGCCTCCCAGGAAGTAAGGGAGCTTGAGGGAAGTCCAGAGGAGGTCGCCCAAGTTTTCTTTGGTACAAGCTCCCAGGCTATTTTGTAAACCTCCTTGGATTCCTTCCAAGATGAAGAAAGGTGATGTTGCAAGCCAAGGTTCCTCCTTTGAACAAATGCCAGCCACAGGTCTTTTCCTTGCAAAACACTCTTTATTGCTTCTGAATGCAAACCTGCCAGAATGGATCTCTGAGCATGTGCAAAGTAGCTTGTTGAACCTAATCTAGTGGTTACCATCCAAAATTCTCCTTATGAACATGTTTGTGCCTCAACTCTCTGCAGGTGAACATGCCTCCTCTCAGTTTATCCTGTTGGACCTCTCGCCTCTGCTGGTGTTTTGACATGGCATCCAGCTTAGAAAGGAGGAGATGGTCTACATCTGAGAGATCAGCATCCCCAGGGACTCTTCCCTCTGACTGTGGGTCCAAGTCATTCCCAGGAACAGTTCGGTGTGGCAAAGCATTTCCTCCTCCAGCTTCTCTTGCATCATAGGACCTTGAGCTGATGCAGGCTACCAGATCTCACTGAGACAACCCTCATCTTCTGAATCTGAATCAACACCTGTGGTGTGGCTGCCCCATATCCCACAGGTTTTCTTCTCAACCATTGGAAATGGTGGAGTCCCCTCCATGGCTTCAAGAAAGTCTTCCAAAATCATAGAGGGAACTTCATCTTTGAAGGACTTCAATGTGTTCACTTCTTTCCTTGCCTTTTGATGTCCTTGATGCCCTAAACACAGAAGCAGGACCAGGTGCGTTCCAGACAATATGGAACAGAAGGGTGAAGCAGAATCTGCAGAATCCAGGAGATGTCTCAGCCTCTCCACCTTGCAATGGGGGAAAACATTAAGACAGCCCAAGTTGGAGATTTCTTGCCAGGGCAAGGAGAATGTGGTTGGCTTCCTGGCCTGAGTCTGTCATTTTGCTAAAATAAAGTAAGCATCTCAGTAAATCTGTAGTTTCTCTTACCTTCACTTGAGCACACTCTTTGCCATTAAGGGTTATGAAATGGTACCCACTCTGTTGGGAGTGAGAAAGATGGCCACTTTGGGGCCTGTTCTCAAGGATTGCTGGCTGGACTTCAGAAGAATCGGAATCAGAATGTGAAGCAGGGCTGCGGGGAGCCTGGGAAAGTGGGCCATGCTGGGGCCCTGCAATGGGAGAAACAGAGACACTTGTGCCAAGGCCAGGGTCCCCAGGGGGGCGGGCTTCCTCTGAGAATAGCCAAGACGTGCAGCTGACTGGAGGGGGCTCAGAGCAGGGGAGTTTCTGAGACAGGCCAGGTAGCCTCTGCTCTTGAGCCCATGATGCAGCACCAGCAGAAGAGGACCGTCCAGTTGCAGGATCGGTGAGCAGAAAGGAGGCCTGCCCATCAGCAGAGTTCCTGGAGGGGATTACTAGACTGGGTTCAACAAACCACTCTGGACATGCCCAGATATTCAGTCTGGGAGATTTGTGCTTTTTGGCCAAGAAAGAAGGCATTGCAAGGAAAAGGTCTGTGGCTTTTGAAGCTGCAAAGGAGGAACCCCAACGTGCTCAAGCACTCAGTTCAGGATTTGTGTGTGTGTTTTAGGGCTGTGGCATGTTACAGCTTCTTCAATCCCTACTCAACATGTTATAGTTAACCTTTCAGTTATAAGTTGAATGGAAATTTATTTAAACTTGCAGGAATTTCTGTTCTCTAAAGAACATTCTGGGTTGCCATCTGGAAGGAGAATTGTGATTTCTTTTTCTTGAACAGCCGGTGTTTAGTGCTCATTATTTAATGAGCTATTGCCAAGATGTTCTGCTTGAAACTAAGGGATCAAGTCAGCAGTTAACAGTCGGGATAGCCAAGGCAATAACCGGGTTCAGACAACACAGTAAGCCATGATGGTGTTTTACCTTCATTGACCAGTCATGTATTTCACCATGGTAAGTTTGGTTTTTAGAAACCACAATAAGGAATAATGGTATGTTTCTCTGTATGTTGCCATGATGTCTAAACCCAAGATCCTGGTGCCCAACTACCACAGAGTCCTCTAGAAAGAGTGGCAATTGCAGAAGTCACTCTAGCCATTTAGCGTCTGTGTGTGAACCAATAAGGGGACCAATAAGATGTGGACCAATAAGGATAGGCAGGATATGATGTACTTGGGATTGAATTTTATTCACAGTGGTTGATGGGATCTGTATGTGTCAACAGTGGGAGGACTGTCTGTTGGGTAGATAAAGGTGAAAAAACACAAGTGATGATATCTATGCAGCATCGCTTGTAGTTTTGTGTAAACACAGCCAGGATTATCCTTCAAGGCCAGATGTTAGTAAGAGGCAATGTTTCCTAAACTGTGCTAATGAGTGCTGCTGCTTCTGAATACTGAGTCATTCCAAGGAGTTACTGCGGCATCATGTTGGAAAGATACATCAGGTCGAAACGTGCTAAAGTAGCAGCCAGCACAGGTGAGGCAACCTAGAGACACATCCAGAAGTGAACAGTAGGTGCAAGTGGAAGAAAGAAGAGATCCCTCCTTTAGTGTTTCCAATTCTTGAACTCTGATCCAGTGCTAGACCTAATGTCTAAGGCTGTCTGTACAACTGAGATATGGATTCCCAAAGTATAGACCATGGGAGAGGCTGATTTGCCTTAAGCTTTACATCCCCTAAAACACCCTTTCCCAGTTTGGAGCCCTGCAGATGTCTTGGCCTACAACTTCCAGCATTCCTGACCACTGGCTGGGATTGATGGGAGCTGAAATCATCCAGAGGTCAGCAAGTTGGTGAAGGAAGGTTTAACCTGCACAGGTAGGAATGACCCATTCAGCATTGATTTCCCCTATTTCTTGCAATAAAGGAACCAAGGGAAGGACCAATGATGCAGAGGAATAAGGGGCTAAGAAATTTGCTTCCCTTCACCTTTGATCAGAGTTTACCATTTTCAGTCTGAAGTCCCTGCATTTCTGAGCTTGCAATATGATTCACAGTGTAAATTTAACAGCATGCATGCATTTGAAAACGCAGACTGCTGAACAATCTCACAAACACACTTTAATCAATGAAAGAAGAATGTGTATATTTCAATGTGTGCAGAACTTGCGTATTTTGTAAAATGTTCACAGCATTTCATGGGCAAAGGGGAAGAAAAACAGCGCTTACAGTCTGATACCAACTTATATTAGAATGAATTTCGAGATGGTATCTTGAGAACAGTTAGCCTGGATTTTGCTGATGCACCCACCACTGTTCTGATTATGGCTACTTTAGATCTGAGGATACTTAGGAAGACACAAAACCACCTGAGCCAAAGATAACACTGTTTATTGTATACAGTGATGAAATATGGATTCAGATCACTAATAAAAAGCCAAGGAAAGCCTTCATTCCCCTTCTTTATGGTGTGCTGGTTCTCTGAATAATCCAGGGGATTCTTGGTGGGCCTCCAAAGCTGCCTGGGCAAGCAATGCCTCAACCCCGAATCCCAGGTCAAGAACAAAAGGCAAATCTTGCCATCCATTTTCTGGTTCCTCTCTCCCACTTTTGCAGAGCCTATCAGGATGAATCCAGGATCCCTCCACCTTCCTGGGAATGAAGCTGTTTAGCTAAGGCCATGAGGACTTGGCAGGCTCTCCAGGAGCTTTGTTGGCTTTTGGACACTGGGAAATCTCACTGCACTACAGTACCTGTTGAACCTCAATAACCCATTTTCCATTTTTCTGGTACAACCTGAATAATACAATCTTTAAGTGGGCTATTCCCACCTACAACTGCCAGGCACAAGGGAATCTTCGAAGCTTCATCCTTTGCCCAGATCATCTGTTTTCCTGAAGGAATTAAATTTAAATACATAAATGGCCCAATCTTACCGTCTCTTGATGGCATCCAGGAAGCCAAAGAGATCTTCTGAGTCCCAGTTCTGAGATTCTATGATCTCAGAGCTGGGACTCCAAAAGTGCTTCAAAGGCTGCTCCAGGGCTGGAACATCTTCTACTTCTATCTTGGTGCTGAACTCTCAGCTTTTGTGCAGGTGCCTCTTCCACTACTTTTTTGTGCTGCACACATGTTGGTGTTTCTAGTAGAAAATGCCACGAGGTCTAACATAGAAGTGATTGACAAAGCAAAAAGCAACACAAATCACGCAACAGCTTCAACACCCTTTATTTCGCAGGCAAATAACATTTGGGCTATCCAATTAAATAGCACTGTGTTATTCTTTTATGTTTAATTCAAAATCTAATGCGTATTCACCTTCATGGGTTTCATCATGCTAAACTATACATATACCATAGTTGGTGGGAAACAGGGTGCTTTTTAAAAGATCTACAGTACCAATGATCACAAAGAACACATGGCTGAATCAAGATTTCATCCAACTTTACAAACAGCAACAAAAGCAGTCACAAGACATATTTAATACACAGGATGAAAAAGTTTATCATTGAGTTGCTCTTTACATTTGGCAAAGTTATAACTAGCAGGCAGGATTTTATTTTTTAAAAAGAATACAATTATATACATTATTCAGTATCCTCAAAACAGGAAGATATTAAATAGCAACAAACAAACGAACCAATATTATAAACTTAAATGTTCATGGCACCTACATGGAAATTGACTCTGAACAGCTAAAAATGCTAGCAAAACACTAATGGAAAACTACCCTGTACACTTTAAGTTAGCTTTGTTCATGACATTTTCAGCAACTGTGTTGAGAAGCAAACCTGTGGGATTTGGGGATGACACAGAACAGGTAAGGTTGGCCCAAGAGAATTTACTCTGCTTTTGCCTCCCTTGTCTCATTCCACAGACAGAAGCCAACTGGACTGGGAGTTTAATCTCCCCTGCACCTGACTGTGGCTAGTAATGGAGGACACAACAGGGGTCATGGCTTTGTTCTCCAACAACTTGCTCCCACTCACTCAAGCCAGCCACTCTGCTCAATGATTGGCCCTTTCCCAAGGCCCAATCCTCACAAAGCTAGTTGCAACTAAACCCACATTAAAACAATGACAATCAAGTTAATGAGAACTCCAGTTCAGTTCAGTGGGTTTCAGCAGGATTCTATTTCATGTAATTTTGGTAGGTTTCTGCCCTGAACCTCTCAAGCTAGATTGAAAAACTAGTCTGGGTTTCTTTCTAGCTGGACCATGTGGAGGAAGAGACGTAAGAGGAGGTTCGTGGCAATGATGATCACACAGGGTCAAGGATCCTTCTTGGCAACAGTGCTCATGGATGATCTGGGCTGAATGGTGAGCAGCGAGGAAGTCTCGTTTGCTGATAGTATCAAAATATTTAGGGTGGTAAAGCACAAAGCGATGGAGAAGAGCTCCAAAAGGATTCCTCCAGGTGGTGGTGGTTGGGGAAATAGACATTAAAGCGGAACGTGCTGTTCAATGTGAGCAAAAGTGAAGTGATGCAGGCAGTCTTTATATTCACATAGAGGTCAATAGGTTCTGAAATGGTGGTGACCATCCAGAAAAGAGGTACTGGAGTCACTACAGAGAAACAACTCCATAAATGTTTTGGATGAGTGTGCAGAGGGTATGGGAAGAGTAACAGTCTTTTTAGGAATCCTTAACAATGGGATTCAAAAAAAACTGCCCTATATTATAATGACGTTATATAAATATATAATGCAGCCACATCTGGAATATTGTGTGCACTTTGTCATATCTCAAAATGGCTACTGTAGAGCAGAAAAGGGTGACCTGAATGGTTGAAGAGCTGGAAGAAGAACTGTTCAAGGCAAAGTAATGATGTTCAGGGGAAGAATGGGGGTGAAGACATCACAGTTGCATTGATTTATGCATGGTGTAAGAAAAGTGGGTAGTGTTAGGTGAGCTCAGAACCTGAGCTCATCCAGTGAAGTTGAACCATGGGACATCCAAGGACAGATGGAACAGAATGTTTTTTTCTAGCAGTGCATAGTTAAAATGTGGCCTTCAGAGCTCCACACAATGTGGTGATGACCACCAATGCAGATGGCTTTAAGAGGATTAGAGAAATTCAGGGAGGATAAGGCTGTCAGTAACTGCACATCAGGATAGCTCCAGGATCATAAGCCCATCTCCACTGGCTGGAGGACCAAGAGCAAGGAGGGGCTATTGTCCTCACCATGACTGCTTGTGGTTATGTCAGAGCTGGCCCACTGTGGGAAACACAATGCTAGACTAGGTAGACTTTTTGGTTGCATCAAGAATCGCTCCTCTTGTGTTAGCCAGGTGTCAAAATGGATGGCTTTCCAAGAGCCCAGTGGGATGGTGGGTGGGTATGAACATGCCAAGTTGTAGAAAAGAGAACTCCATTCCAGAACTCCTAAATGAAAAAGTCACCCACTGCCTTGGAAGGAGCAACCATGGGAATATGGGAAAATTGTATTTGATTGGTTCAGTGGAGTCCCTTTGAAAGTGAGCTCCAGCAGGTCCCCCCCACCTTCCAGCTGCAGGGGTCTTCTCTCAAAATCCTGTGGGGCTGGCAGTCCTAAATGACAAAGCAGTATATACATGTGCTCTTGAATTAGGTGAAGTGCAGAACTTGTACATACATGCATATACCCTGCGCCTGAATCACAGGCGAGCTCATGCCATGCCCCACACTACACATAAAGCCCTAAGGAGTGCTCTTCCAGAATAAACTCATGCAACCCCCCCCCCCCCGCCAAAAAACAGGAGAGGCACACAGTTTGTTGCGGGCTAAGCAGGTGGTCCTAGCATTGGACATGGTGCTCTAAATGTGGTGGGAAACAAGGAAGCCACACTTGCCTTCTTTGCCAGCTGGACCTAAATTTGGCTCCCTGACCTGGAGGTTCCACGCTACACAAGCTGCCATAAATATGAAGGATGAGCAAAGCCTTGGACACATCACTATCCTCTAGTGTAAACCATTTCACATGAACCTATGTATAGTGATCACACTTGCTGAATCTCACGTATGCTGAAGATCTACCACAGCATGGAAAGTTGGAGTGGCTACAAATCAACTCGTAATCTGTTTAGTAAGAAAACTCGTAAGAAAAATCTGGGTGTTTGCTAGAGGAAGAAATTCTGTCATGCAGCAGAAAGGGGAAAAAAGTTCGTTTAAGTTGAATTCCTTAAACAGTCATGCCATTGCAATGATACATGAAGCAGCCTTTAAAATATTACTCTGGAACTTGAGGCACTACTAAGTTAGTTAACGGATCTGCGCATATTGCCAATATTCTGTTTTTAATAAAGAATGAGTGATCATTCCATGGGCCGAATGGTTGCCTATTCAGATTTAACCACACCCAGCTGTAAAAAGACTAAATGGTGCCCGTGCTGTCCTTCATCTGGAAGCAATTACAGCCATTATAAACAATATTAATGTTCTATCAACTGTCCTGTACAGAAAATGCACAATGGAAAACCACAACATTCAGACTACAGGAGGTAGTTTTTTTCTGTGAAGCCCAGAACAATATTTTGTGTTTACTTTTAACTTAGATGGTATTAGTAGTTGTTCACTAGCATTTTCACTGGGAGCGCCTTTTGATTGTGACAGTTGAGATATCACTTTGCTTTTATTACCAGGGCCACATGTTCCTCCTTCCCTCCCATATAGAAGTCTTATTATTTTTTTTTTCAGTTGCACACTCGTAGTGGATAAAAATTATTTGTGTGACACTGAAGCCCATACAGCACGTGCTTTTTGATAAGGCGAGTAGCTCCATGAAGGAAAAATATGAGCTCCATAATGCGGGCCCAGCGACACACGGTGCACAATGAGAATGCCACAAAAAACAGCATCTGGCTGATACGTTTTCTCCCTTTCCCTCACAATGCTTAGGAAGGCTTACTCTGGCATGTCATCAGGTTGTGAATTTTACTAGCCCACCATGCATCGTTGCCTTAATGACGGCACAATATGATGCTGACCTGCCAAGGGCTGAGCTTTCTTAAACGTTGCAGAGAATGGAGAGCAACCAGTCACAGGGCTTGTGTTTCCAGCAGCATTTCTATGGTGTGGCTCGGCCCTGTGCTTTACCACAAAGAAGATGTCCTTGTCACATCTGAGGCCAGGATGCTAGTAGTCTCCGAAGAGCAGGGCCAGGAGGTTGTCCATGGACCTGGGCTAGATTATTCATTTCCTTATGAACTGTGGAAGGCTGAGAAACGAGAGCACAACATGAAGTTACCTGAAGGGTTTCGGATGGTAGCCAAAAGGTGGCATTTTATGCTGCCACATTGCTCTTATGGAGACCACAACCTTTATGAGATAAAGATGAGATCTGGCAAATCATGAGTGAAGTTTCCCCACAGATGTCCCGTACCTGCATAGGCAATGTGGACAGGTTCGAATGCACCTGCTCTCAAAGTTTCCCTAAAGGTGCAATTCTTCAGGGAAGTCAGATGCTTACAGAGTGCATCTTGGGCAAGTGGGAGGAACACAGAGGTGAAAGTTAGCGCCATGCGTTTCTCGCTTTGCAAACCACTCAGGATGGGTCCAACCACTACAAGCAGCCACATTTCAACAAGGTGCACCACGACTTAACATCATTTGCAGGTCAGCTTATAATGCTAGACCCGGCCCCGAGTGCAGTCACCCACAACGGAAATGCCTGTGCAAAAGGAGTCACAGAGTGACCTTGAAGGGTAGTTGATTCAAATGGATGGCAAGACCTTTAAGATAATACATAGTTTAGTCCCTGCACACAGTAACTGACACGGGAGCTTCTTTGGAATAGCTATTTCTCGTGCCGCTCCACTAAGGGCGAAGTCTGTCAAGGAAGGGGATATTGGTGCTGATGCACCACCCCCAGCCCTCTGCATGCTGCACGCACAGGTTACAAAGTTTGCATTGGTATACAATTGATATAAAACTAACAGGCAATGCAATGAACCCACATTGTCATCATCTGTATGCATTGCAGGAAGCAGCTGTACCTATCATGGTGGGATCTAGGCTCTTTGGGGAAGTAGTATTCCGATACGTGTTTTAGGGTTGCTTTCAATATAGACAGCATTTGAACATCCCACCTCATATGGTCAGAAAGCTAACAGTAAATGAGATTCACTCTCCTTAGTTGGGCTACATTCAAGCAAATGTTTCTTTCTAAGGCTACTTTTAGCTTCTGTTTTACCCTCAGAGGGGCTTTTGGGTGGAGTTTGCTTCTGTGTCTTGCTCTGCACAAATGGACAGTGCCAAACAGCCAAATTTAGGCACTTAGTCACAGTGATTTCAGTGGAAGAGCTTCAATCCCACCCAAAGGAAGTCACTGGCACTAAAAAGTGCTAAACTTGGGCAAGCCTCTGCCCTTTTTTTCCTCCTGGACTCTCCTTTGTGAGTGTCCTAGGGCAGATTGCCATGCAGAAATGGTTACCCTGAAAGGTGCAAGAACACCTGCTGCTGTTTAGCAGGTTGCATCTTTGGCCCAATGATGCTCTGCTAGTTTTCTTTTTCCACACACAAAGATCTTACCATGTCAAACCTGGTTAGAAGAGATCATTGGATGCAACTAATCCCACTGACAGCTAAGTAGATTTACAGAAGTGAGTGTAGGATTGCAACCATAATCACTATGTCTGTGTTACATTTCAACCAGTCCTGGGCCATTAATACTAATATAGGAAATGACATTTAAATGTCAGCTCTTATTTTCTCATTGCAATGTACCGTCAGCAGAGAGAACCGTATACCTTGAAATGGATAGAAGAGATGTCTGTAGAATCTACCACCCCAGTGTACATTTCCTCCTACTTCAGACTTCCTTTTCCTTCCCACCTTGCATAATTCTACACTGGAAAGTGTGTCCATCCACTCCCGTTTCCCTTCTCCAGAAAAGTAAATGGATGTTGAAACACTACAGAGGAATCTGGGTTAAGACAAATGATTGAATTCTCATAGTTGAAAGTATAAGGGTCAGTTTGATCTTATCGGGCACTTCACAAATGAAATCTCTTTGGATTTGGTGTTTTCTTTTTCCTCTTAAGCCTTGATAGGTTGCATCTTTTCTTTCTTTTACCAGGCTTGCTTTATTTAAGTTGTTCTATGCTTTCTGCAGGAAAACCAAAACAAACAAACAAAAATGCTTGAAGGAAGATGCCTCCAAAAGAAAAAAAAACAGGGAGAAAAAAGTTTGATGCCCAAGACAAAACTTTACGATCCAGGCAACTGATTTCTTCGGTTCCTACTTTTCCGGTTCATGAGGGCCTTTAACTTGCCATAATCTCCTCTCATCTTCTGGGAATCTTCAGCCTGCTGCTGCCCAAGCTGCCTTGTGTCTTTGCAGTACTGATTAATCATCTGCAGTTCTGAATGGCTGAAAGACCCAGCCAAGTCCTTTGGATGAAACTGTAATGCCTGGAGTGAGCTGGCCCAGGTCCAGGGGGACCACTTTTCCGTCATCAGGGCTACTGTGTCAGAATCTAACACCTTGAAGTTAACCTTTGCTATGGTTTGCTTGAAGCTGTTCTCTGTCGCAATGCAGTGGTAAAGTCCCCGGTCTGTCTCCTGAACGGAGCGAATTAAGAGCCCTTGTTCAGTGGCTATGATTCTTTCATTAAGCTTGACCTAGAAGCAACACAGACAACATATGTTCTGACAGCACGGGTTCGAACAAGGAACATGGCAAACCCACCAAACATTAATTACAAATTTGGTTTTCAACAAGAAATACATTCTAAGCCAGGTCTTTTCATTCTACCCTCCAAAAACAGCTGTCTGAGAACATACTAAAGACTTTAGCAGCTTTGCAGAAAATGTTAAAGTATTATCTGTCAGTAATGTTGGCGTTACTTCCTACATCAAACACTGTGATCTGGGACGCATTGTATTTGTGGATCGTGCGTTCTGTGCCTGGCAGTAGAAACTGGCAAGATTGCGGGAGGATAGGAACACAGGTCGCATCGCTCCCTCAGCCAAGAAGGCACAGGGGTCGAACTCACAATCCACACTACCCCACTAGCACACCCCTAGTGAAAGGGCCGAGGCTTCACTTAAAATAGCAAGCTGCATTTCCCAGAAAACCTTTATGACATTGTGCTCTGGGTGGAAGCCAGGCTTCTGCACCTTAGGGCAAGAGGCCAAATCCCTCCCACCTGGGCTCTCCTAATCTGTCTTGGTTCAACTTTTCTGGGATAAGGAGGACTGATGCCCTCCCCAAGTCCTTCTTGCCTGCTTGTTTTGCATTGACTCAGTTGTTTGCCTATTCTACTAGCCACTCACCTACTTGCTGCTTTTTCATTGGAAAAGGAATCTTAAAAAGATGACTCAGGCTTTCAGTTGTTCAGTGTAATGAGCACTGGTTACTTCTGCATCTTTCTTCCTTGCTTGCTTTTTTCACCTACTTACTCATTTTACTTGCCACTTTTGTAATGGGCAGAGAGAAAATTAACCAAATTATCTTGCATGTACACCTTAAAGTAGGAGGTGGACTGAATGCGATCAGATTTAAGTCAGTTTTTAATTTGACTTTCTAAAGCCAGCAGTGGCTCTTAATCTTCAAGTATTTTATTCTAATGTTTATATTTTAATTTAAGATTATAATTATTTTAATTTTAATTGTTGTAAGCCGCCCCGAGGCTTCGGCGAATGGGGCGGCATAAAAATGTTTTAATAAATAAATAAATAAATAAATAAAGTGCTAGAATATGTTTCAGTGGACAACAGAACACCTGAGGAAGTTATTTGTAAATAATCTTCCTTTTTGTTTCACTTAAGGAAGGCTGGGCTATTACAGACCATTACAGAGAACTGAAACTTGAGAGCTATGGAGAGGACAGGAATGAAGAATGCGGTTATACCACACTTAGGAAAATTCTTGTGGCTCTATATATTTTTAGTTCATGTTAATTCCTTGCTATGAAAGCTTCTCTTATCACCTTTTCTCCCTGTTCCTTAGACATATCTCCTCTATTGCCCTCCTGAATGTTATGTCTGCTGTTCCCTTTTCAGCATGTTTGAAGCACAAGAGATTTTGCTGTTGGCACTCTTCATGCAGAGTACAGAGGACATGATATAGCCGAATCCTCAGTGGTTTGACTGCAGTAGGGTCAAGCACTACAAACAACATCCAAGGCCCTCTTCTGAAGGAGATTTGAACAATGGACGGGGCCTTCTTGGTGATGGTCCCCATTCCCACAATTGTGAAATGTTCTTTCCAGTGACATCCACCTGGCTCCAACACTATAGTCTTTTTGGTACAAGTTTAAGACTTTCCCCCTCCTCTCAGTTTCTTAATTCATTTGTTTTACTAGATCTTGTCACTATAATTTGTGTTAGCTATTTTAAAACATTTTAACCTTTTGCATGTTGTAACATCTCTTGTAAGAAGGCTTGAGACTTTTTTTTTTTAAGAAAAAAAATCTAATAAATTTAATGAACAACAAGATGTTTAAAACACTTCCATGGAAAGTACCTTATATAAAAGTGCTATATATGAACAGAGCTGTCCTAGGAAATGTTGGAAAGTCTTGCCACTCTGAGGATGACTGGCTAATCCCAAAGCAATTTCTATATTAAGTAACACAAAGCACATGTTTGTACTCATTAAATAGAATATACCTTCCATACAAATAGTAGTGAGGCTTAATTGCTCGTTCATTGCACCATGCAGCTCTGCGTGTGTACATTTGGGCAACACTCTCGTGTTTGTCCAAAGGAAAGGGAGCACACAGAGCATGTGAGCTGATAGCCCACTCACAAATTGTGTTGCACAGCAGGAGTGAACAAGTTGTGGAGGTCTGGAGCCACATCTCCCACAAATCCCACCTGGAGTTGCTTTCCCAGTCCCCTTGCTGAAATTCAGCAGCAAGGCAGTGGCACCAAAGAAAATCTCCTCCATGTGAAAGAAAGAGGAAAGGTTCATCACCATAATTCTGTACCATGGTGGGACTGTCCCTGCTTTGCTGCAAGTTATTCCTTTTTGCAATATTGTTGCAGTGCAATTTCAGCGAAGCTAGTGGGGACCCAGAAGTGTGTGTTGCCCACCCCTGTTGTGGTGCCAGCAAGATTTCACACACTCAATTTGTATATAGGTCTCATTCAATTTGTACATAGGACTCATCAATATCCTGCTTAATCTTGGAAGCTAAGCAGGGTCAGGCCTGGTCAGAATTGGGATGGGTGACTTGAGTGTATGATTCTATGATTATTGTTGTAAACTGCCCAGAGAGCTTTGGCTATTGGCAGTGTAAAACTGTAGTAGTAGTAATATTGGTGGTAGTAGTCATAGTAATAATAGTAACAGTAATTGCTGCCTAATTACTGCAAATTACAGTGCAATGCAATGCAAAGTATTTACTCATGCTGTTCTGTGAGGGATGATAAGAACTTTGTTCTGTGCTCTTTTTCACTTGACTTTGCCTTGATCTCTCTGAATGCAAACATGAATGTGAACACTTTTTCGGTATGCACAATGTGTATTTTTACAGGGAATAGTTTGCATTTCCCCAAACTTGCAATTGAGTTAAAATGCACACTTTAAAAATGGAGTTGTGTGTGTTTGGAATTGAAAAATGTGTGTGTGTGTGTGTGTGTTTTTAAGTATACATTTTCACACTTTAGGGGAGAAAAAGTGTGTGATTTCAAATGTTAAAAGGTTTATTTTCATTGTTCAAAATGCACACTTGTCCTGTTCTCAAACTCAAGACTTCCAATTGGAGTTTGAAGATGGTGAGCACCACCTGTTCACTCATCCCTATACACAGTCATGCAGTTTTGAGACATAACCCAATTCAAACACATCTTCCCTCCACTGATAACTTAGGGCTCTGGACTGAGATGACTCACCTCTTTCCTTCTGTCTTTATCTTTCTGTAAGAGCCATTTAACAGAGGCCTGGGGAGATTTAGGTGTGCACTCAAGGAAAGTGGTGTTATTCTTGACTCCATACTGAATCACCTCTGCTGCATTTCGGTAACCTAGAATTTGAAAAAGGCCAGATAAAGAATAGTGCTTCCCCTCCTCCTCACTTGGGAGCACATTCTGAGGATACTATCAGGATGATCATACTGAAGATAAACAATGTGGGATAAAGAAGCAGGGAATATTTGAGGGAACTACAGCTTTAGCCTACGCCTTGCATGCTCTTTCTTCTTCTCTATTAGAAAAATCCACTCTTTCTTCCCTCTTCTTTGATTTGTTCTAAGCACTTATTTGTAATATTAATTAACATTCATTGATTGCATTTTAATTTCAGTTCCCCACCTAGCCATGAGGCTTACTGGGATGGTGTACAAGGTTCTTCTTACTATTTTAACCTCTCAGCCAGCTTGAGAGGTCAGTCAGGGTTAGTGTCTACCCCACTATCATCCAATAAGCTTGAATTTGAATCTCCTTGGCCTTAATCCACTTTGATGTAACCACGGTTAAGCCAAACCAGGATTACCTACAATGATGAGTTGAAAATCTATGGCAAATGGCAGTTTGGTTTGCTTTGACCATGGTCAATCTAACATGGTTCTCATGCTAAAGTAAACTACAGGGAAAGGAGGTGGAATGAGCTCATGGCACATTTCTGACATTCTGTAATCATGGTCAGAAACGATCAAATGTCCCAAGATTTGTACTAGTGCAGCATCAGCTTTGTTCACAATGGGTGCTTTGAAGCAGCATCACTTGCTTACTGTGGTATTAAGTCTGTAACCTTGTTTTGCAGGAATATTAACCATAAGGCTGTTAATGGATCATAATAAACCTGACATTTTATGGAAGTCAAAGTGATCTTATATGCGGCAAAACACCCTACTATTTGTGTCCTTTTTCCATATTTTGGGATCACCAAGTCATCACATTCTGAATGATTTTTTTAAAGGTTGACCTAAAAGTGGGAGGGCTTTTTGCAGAAGCAGCAGCAGCAGCAGCAACCAAAAACAACCTTTTTGGTGATTTTCATGGGTGCCTTTGAAAGGGGGGAAATGCAGGCACAAATGCTTTTGAGGAAAATCTGCCACTGAACAGCAAGTGAGGAAGTCCCAGTCTAGCGGCCTTCAGAAAAGGGCTGCAACACTCAGGCTGGGCCCACAGGGGGATGGTTGTGTGAGGGGAAGTGCTTTGGCTTGGCCAAATCTAATTGGTTCAATGGCCAGTGCCACACATGATGCCATCCCTGATTGGCTGCAAATGTTCTGATCACATCATGTTTGGATGTTAGCAAAAGGGCAAACACACACAGTGGCTGGGGAGAGGTACAAAAAGGGGTTGGAGTAAGGGGCTTGGGGAGGGGATTGGAGAGCATTTTGTCCTGAACATATTTATAACCAAGCATTTGGCAGCACTGTGGAAAATAAATGTATTTTTCCCCCATAATGAAATATTTTGGAAGCCAACAGTAATTCAGCTATCTTAATTGTCTCTATGAATAGAATGTGGGAAATGTGTCATGTCTGGTGTTCTATTTTTAGAAACTCTTTTCATTAAAGTCAAAATGCTATGGCCTTATGATACTGGACTCAAAAGCAAATGCTACTCCAATTAAACAAAAAGACAGTGGGAGAAGAAACCCCAGCCTTTAAAAAAAATAGTAGTGAATGGCTATTTTCATTTTTGGGGTGTGCTTTTCCTTAAATACATTGATTCTGAACAGTGTTCACGCCAGGATTTTGGAAAGATTCACACATGGAGGGAAACTTTATCTGCAAGAGACTGTGTATGCGAACTGGGAACAGTGCTGTGAGCAGAACCCCTGAAAATGCCTGAATTTGGCATCTTCTAGAGCAACTTTCACCAATCTGCTACTGGCAGGGGTTTTGGACAAAAACTTCAAGGATCCCTCACTATACAAGGGTGACTGATGGATGTTGGAAGCTGAAAGCACCTGGAAGGCATCAGGATGTGGAAGAATGCTCTAAAGTCAGACCCAGTTCTAAGGGCACGAGCATGACAAGCTTGTGAGCCGATCTTCCACTACAGTGACCGTTGTTCAGCTGCACAGATCAAGAGCGGCGGGGATCTTCGAAGCAGCATGACAAATGATTCTGGTGACCTCTGCATTCGGTGCATTCACACTCAAGGCAAGCAGACAAGAGCAGCAAAGTGGCTGGCGGTGGCATAAGCTCAGCCGGGGATGCTGCCCGGCTCTTCCAAGCCACCTGTGTAGACACAGCTTCTCTAGCACTCAGGCTGCTCAGGTTTTTAGGTTTTCCTTTCAGCTGCAGCTTGAGTGCCCCCCAGACAAACACAGCACACAAAAAGGAAGGGAGGAATGTTAAAAATGCACGGGTGCTCTCTTTTGACCAGTAAACCACAGGGATGGTATGAATCACTTAGGAGACCAACCACACGTTTTAATAGCCTGGCTGTCTTTCAGTTCAAAATACCTTTCAGGTTAAATCCTCGGCACTGAGTCATAGGATTGCCATGCCTCACGTCTTGTCTACGACTCCTCCTATGAAATTGAAGGAAAGATGAATTTGCAAAGATTACTTAACAATAGCCAGAGTATTATTACCAGAGGACAGTCCTGCATCTAGAGGAACAAGTCCACACCCCTGAATCAGCCATGGAGACCAAGGTCAAAGCTTTTTATTAGGAGGCTGAGTCCTTCTCTGTGGTGGCCCCAACCTGTGAAAGACCTACCACAGGAACCATGCGAGACTCCCTTCTTGACAGTTTTTAAATTCCCATTTAAGATCTTGGTGTTCCAGCTGCCCATTTTCATTCCATAATTGTTGCTGTTTTAAGTGCTTTATGATTTCACCTCATAAACTGCCTTAAAACGACTTTGCTGGTACAAAAATACAGTATTCAAGAGAAATAAACAAGCCAAACAGTTGAAACTAGATTTGGGCACTAGATTGTGCTTCCACCCTTATCTTAGAATCAGAAGAACACTTTTGCCCTGCTACACCTTGACCTTGAACATGAAAATCCAAAATGGATGCTTTGATCTGCTCAGGACAGATCATAGGTCCCAAAGGTGAGATGTTTCTAGGAATTTGCTTGTTTGGGTCTTTCAGACAGATTGTATTGGAAATAGCCATACGAAAGGAGGCTATCTGTCTGGTAAATAACTGAGAAGTAGAAACATTTGGTTACGGAAGCTGTGTCGTGGGTGTATTTTGAAAACATGTTCCGATACCTCCAGGCCCTGATTTGGGAACAAAAATTAGCAGGCATCCAAAGGGCAATGAAAGCAAAGTGGTCTGTAGAAAAGAGTTACTACTTCTGTCTAGACTTGGAGACTTGGCTCCTGTGAGGGATGGTTTTCTCAATCATAATCTGTTTTTATAGATAAAAGGAGCCACTTGTTTCCTGAACATATAAAAAAAGACTTCATTTCATATGCATTTATTTTTCCCCCACTATAAAAATGAACAGGATTAAAAAATGTTATCTGAAGAACAGGACTCATTCTTTTGCCAGCATGATGGATATCTTAATATCAATTCTCAGACATTTTGAAAGGTTCAGATGTATTCAGTTACCATACTAGCCATTGCAAAGTCATTCTGAAACTTGAAATTGCCAAGCAGTAAGTGCTGCCTTAGTCCAGAATACCTTAGAATCATGGGATTTATGGTGAATATAGAAATGCAGAAAACTGTAGTAAAACTGTGTGTTAGTTTCCTAAAACATTGCAGAATAGTCAGTGCAGGTCCATATTAATTTGGCTTCACAGACACTTTGAAATACGGGCACATAAAAGAATTCACTCTTGAACAATGTAGTCCCCCCTTGTCAATTGTAGTTTGGTGAGTTGAGGACTTATGGCACATATCCTAATTTTTGTTCATTTTAGACTAGGCAGTAATAAAGAAATAGTCTTGGCTTAGTAATAAGCGCACATATTTTGTACACCATATGATACAGTCCACCAACAAGGTATGATTGCCTGCCAGAGGCTTGTGAAGTCCAATTGTCTTGTTGGGGCTTTGCTGCTTGTGACCACAAACATGAATGTGAGTGTGAAGTACCCAGAAGGCCATGGTACATGGTCAGCACATGCCCAGGCACTATGTTTGTGAGCAGCACATTTTGCATGCCTACTGCAGAAAGGTCTAGGTTGGAATTTCCGGTTGGAAGAGGTCAAATAATCAGAAAAAGGAAAGATTCTTGGGAGCTGATTCCAGGCAGTCAGGATGGGCAGAATGAACCTGAGATGCTGGGTGATTTCAAAGATAATCAGTACGGAACTTTTTCATCCTGAGATGACTATGTTCATACTGTCTGCACCAAAAAATACATGTATAATCTCGCTTTGCCCTATCTATCACCCTTCCCACCCTTGTGGGTTGGACTACAATTTCCAGCCTTCCCCAGCCAGCCACTGGAGCTGAGAGTTGTAATCCAACTGGAGGAAAGCAGGTTGGTAGGATCTGTTAACATATAGCTGGTAGTTACAGAGCATCCTTTAGACCAGTTTTATCCATCCTGTTACTTTCCAGATGTTTTGGATTTAAACTCCTATCATCCCCAGCCTGACACCTAATAGTCAGGAAAGCAGGGAATTACATTCCCAAACATCTAGTGGAGGACTAGGCTGGGGAAGGCTGTTTTAGGCTGTGATGATAACTTTTTATTCCAGCACAACCATCCAGGAAACCCTAAACTAAGCAGAATTAGGAAGAATGCAAAGCCATCTAAACAGTTCCCCTTTGGTATAAATCATGTTCTTTAGTTAGCTCTTATAAATGGAGAATTGCATAGAAAATGGATGTTCTAAATCTCTAGAAGCTCCCATCCATTTTGTGCCAAATAAAATTTTGTGCCAACAGTTATAACAACTTCCATGGAAGAAGAAAGAAGAAACATTGCTGCCAGCAATTATGTTGTTAATTATCAGGTAATGAAGAGTTTTGGTTTAGCTGGCATTGGTCCAACAAGAAAAATCAGACTCTTGGTAGATTAAATAAACTCCAAAATTTATATTGCAACACTCTGAGTATCAAAGTTGTGTTATTCATAAGTGAATGCTTGTAATGGCCAGACTTCTCCAACAAAAATGGCTATCCCAGCTTTTACAGAGTTATCAGTGCAAGACATCACATACCCAGCAACTGGATATGAGGTTACCTTTTGGCTTCCACTGCTTCTTGCACATCCCATCAGACTACGTAATATTTATTCACCTTTTTCCCGTGGGGTAGAACCTGGAACAGGAATTGCCATCCCACGCACAGTAGGGGTCTCTGGCAAGACAGCAGTCCGCACAGGCTGTCCCATAGATATGGCAGCGGTGCAGGGAAACTTGGGTGACACCTTCCTCTGAGCTGACGTAGAGCTGTTGCTGTTTAAAGGGGAAGGGAGAGATCTATTTCAGGTGATGAGAGCAAGGGCAGGACTTGAGCTAGGATGCAGCCAAGAGAGGAGTAAGCTTCCGTATTCTCTCAGAATTAACAGTGGAACCAAGAGAGGAGCTGCCAGTAGGTAGCATGCCAAAACAGGCAGGGGCACCTCCCAGGTCTGTATGCCAATGTCAGGATCTGAGCCACTCCAGGGCTCCATCTGCTGGTCTTGCACCAGAATAATGGTTGCAGAATTAGTCCCAGACTCTGCTGCAGCTGTCAGGGCCTTGATGAGCACCATGCGGGAGCCCTTATGAACTAGCTCTTCCCTCCAGAAGCTGCCTCAGCAATGCTGGTCTCCAGTGAGCTATTGCTAGTCGCCTCACCTCGCCTCACCTTGGCCAGACTGCGCCTTGCCTTGCTCTGCATCCTTCATTCAGCTCTGGCCTTGGATTGTTTGTGATGCCAGCTCTGGACTTGTTCTTGGACCCTGAGCTTGTACTGCCTCGACTTCTGCTGTCTGGGCCCTGGTGTATCAGCTTGGTGTCCTGCCTCCCACATCCCAGACCCTTACAGCCTATAATAGGATAACTCCCAAATAGAAAACCCTTGGGAAGAATGCTAGCACATTTTAAACACTGAGGTTCACCGTTGCCTTCTCTCAGGAGCTGGGCTAAATTCAGCATGGAGATCTGATAAATTGCTTTTCTCTCTGTATTTTAATTTCTCTTTCCCCAACTAGAAATCTGAATGTGAGGCATAGTGTTGAATGGAGTCACTGGCTTCTACACTACCTTTTTCCATGATTAATGTGACAAAGTAGGCACTGGCTGACTAGTCTATTTTCTGTCCATACCAGTTTGCATGCATTTTCTGCACAAGCATTTACATTTGAATTGTATGCATTTCCACCAAAAAATATACATTCTGTAGGCATTTTCCAGTAAACACACACATCTCCCCTCTCACCCCAAATATGCCATTTTAGCTCCCTTTTGAGCTATGAATTGTGTTGCAACATTTAGAGAAATGCATAGTCCAGAGCATAACTGCATTTCAATCCATGTGTTCAATGCAGATTTGTGACAACTTGAAAATGTGGGCCAATAGCACTACTCTCCAACAGCATTAGTCACAAGAGGCCTACACCCCTCTATGTATAAAGGAAAAAGGGCCAGCCACTTTGCATTATGTATGGAAAGTGTACATTCAGTGTGGACATGTGCAGTGGATTGCACACACTTGTCTGTTTCAAATATGACCATATGCCCTGTAAAGATAATCCAGCCAGATTTAAGAACTTTTAGTTCCCATCAATTGCAGCTGCAGAAAGTTAAGCTGGGTTTTGCACCTCACACACAGAAATCAAGAGGATATAAAACTGCCCATCTTTGGCTGGGCTCTACTCATGTGTACGTGTGCTGACCCTTTGAATCCAAAGGATGCCACAGTGGTCCATAGCAAAGGGATGGATGTGTTTGGGCACAGCTGACCTCTTTCAAAGCTCTGCCTAGCCACAGAGCACATCAGTCACTCTTTCATCCTAAGCCAGCTCAGGTAGGTTGAGAGACAAATATACTTTGGGAATAGGATAGCAATGAAGTCATTGTAAATGGTTTTCACTGAGAGCTGATGACCTTAAAGGCCACTGAAATAAATCAGTCACTGACTTGACTATGGCTAGTTAGAAATTACCTTAGTCTGGATCCACCCCAAGTTAGATATTTGTTCGGATTGCAATCAAATCAATATTTAACCCAGATTATAACATTTTAGGGTGCATGATGACTGAGGGAATTATAGGACTTGTTTTCTGTTTAAACATGTATAGCATCATGCATCTAACAAATATGTTTCTTCCCTTTACCTTTTTAGACGAAATGGCCATTGTAGTTATAGGAGCATTATTCTGTAAGACAAAAATAAATGTTAGCTCCAAATCCCAACCTTCTATTTTGGTTAACCATAATCACAACATTTTCCAGTTCATAAAATGACTGTCCATTCTTCTAGAAATACATTTTTCCCTTTCACAGCTTCAAAGTATGCCCTTCATCATTCTCTCTGAAAATGTTTGACATGGATAAAATTCTGCACCATGAACCTAATTTGACAACCTTAAGCTCCTCAGAACAAACACTTGAGAATTTTAGACAATTCTAGATGAATAGCCCTTAAAGAGACACCCAAGGGCTGAAGGTAGTCAATTTATGCCTTCAAACCATCACTTTCTGTTTGCAGCAAATCCTCATATTTATGTTTTGGAGATTATAGCATGCAGCATTGTATGTCACAGCTAATATTTAATTAGCACATAAGCAGAATGAGAGGAATATCTAGTGTTTCCTGCATTCGATACCCCAGAGGACACAGTTCTGCGGCACGGCTTTACATTATCAATGAAACATGTCAGCATTAAAAATGAAGTGTAGGGCCCGCTTGACATTTTGTTTGCATTTGCTGCATTCAACAGGCATATAAAGTTAGTCAATGTGGTGCTCTCTTTCCTTCCTTGGTCTTCAGCTGGATATAGGGAAGAATGAAAGGGCACGCTGAACTGTATAGGCGCATCATGCTAAATCAGAGTAACAATCTGCACTCTCTTTTAAAACACATGCTCATACACACACCCTGGGTTAATGGAAATGAGTATGAATTATTGTTCTCCAGTACATGGAGCAACTGGAATAATCACATGGAAAAATGAAGTCATGGCGGATCGAGCTGAAATCTATCTGGCTAGAAGAAGAAATGAAGTGTGAGAAATGGTGGTGTAGCAGTTAAAGAGTTGGACTAGGACTCACTGGGTGATTCTCACACCAGTGTATCTCGTGAGGTTGCTGTGGGGATAAAATTGAGAACAGGAGGACCATGAGCTGCCCTGGGTTCCTTTAAAGAAGAACAAAAAAAGACAGGATATGGTGGTGATGGTGGTGATGTTGAAGGTATGTTGAAGGTAGAACATTGACTAACATCTAGGCTGCCTAGGATTCCCAGTAGGACTAGGCGAATCTGCAGAGAATGCTAGATGATAGAGATCAGACGCCGATCCTCCAAGTCTACTTTTCACGTTCTCCAGCCAAAGGGCATTATCAGGATCAGTTAACAAAGATTCATGGTACTTTAACTGTTAGAACATTCGCTGAATGTGTTCCTTGCTGTATCAATGACGGACAGAGAATTTCTTTCTAGTAATCCTACAGATGGGTAGATCCCAGAAGGTTTACATAAGCCTACTTCTAGACTGGATCACACTTATTTTGTTGTGAAATGTTCTGTTGCGAGGATATCACCACATAGCAAAAGTAGCAAAGGGTGCATCCTGCCTTCACGATAAGGAAAAGCTATAAAGTTTGAGGCTTCTCAGTTTAGAAAAAAGGCAAAGCGATGATGGGGAGCTCTGTTGTGGTAATTATGCAAAATGCATTTACTGCTGTTAGGACACACAGTAATGGATAGAGTAGAGTTTCCACTGTGTTAAAAACATGAACTTATGTCACACACAAGTTTAATTGTGGGAACAATGGGAAGAGTTTGAAAGGTGATGTACGTAAGGGAAATGGCTCTTTAAAAACAGTGTTATTTTTTTCCTATCTATGCAGAGGTATGAAGGAGTAAAGTAGTGGAGCTAATTCAGTTTTTTTATTTTTTAGAAAAAATGACAGCTCATCCTATTCTTCACAAAAAATTGTGGAAAAAGACAAGAGAGAGAGGAGAGATATGGAGAACATGGTTGCTTCCTTCACTTCTTATAGGGCGAAGCCAACAGGATCTGTGTTCCCATTCCTTTCCACTGAAAAGCAATTCCCAAAAGCAAATGCAGCCCTTCTCCTGTGCTATCCTGCGTGAGATGAAGTACCATCAAAATCAATGTGATTTATTTCAGAGTAAGGCCACTGAAGGTAATGTAATAAGTAGACATGCATTTGGCTCATTTTCAACTTCAGTTCCTTGAGGGCAAATGGAATCATTCCAGACTTTATTTTTCCTGAAGGAAGAAGAGGGAGGGCAGGTGGGCAGAATTTCATTTACTCTCCAGGTACATTAGAGGTTGTGGGGAGGCAGGAAGCAATTGTAAAAGCCCTGAGTTGCTGCTATTTTGCTGAAACCCTGACAGGACATTTGCCACTGAAGCCACTGCTGCTGGCCCAGAACAGTATTTATTTATTTATTGCATTCGTATGCTGCCCCCTAGCCAGAACGCTCTCTGGGTGGCTCACAGCTCAATCATAAACAATAATACAGCTAAAAATAGAAAATACAGATAAAAATGACAATAACAAACCATAAAACATAATAGGGTAAAATACAATATAAAGGAGCAGGAGTACAGAAAGTTTAGCCCACACTGGAATATGTTCCTTGGGAAAAAACTCAGCATATAAAAAAGTTATGATAGAACTGGTCTGAAGAGGTTTGGGATATAATGTCTGAATAGCACAAGGGGGGCAGTTTGGGGTGACGATCCTGTGACCCACTGAGTCAGGCACTACAGTGCTGGTAAAAATGCCTAGCGTAGATTATGGTGTGTGAAATAGGGCTGTGCAATAGAGGTGTAATAGATTTTTAAAACATTTTACAAGATGCAAAGAAAGTTAACTGAAAGACTTTTTCTCTCTTTCTCATAACACTGGAAACGGGTTGGAAATTCGAGAGAGACAAAGGAATATCCATCAGAACATTGCATGTAATAATAAAGTAGATTTTGCTGCCACAAGATAGGATGATAGCAACTGACTTCGATGATGTTAAAAGGGGATTAGATAAATTCATATAGGATAAGGTTATCAGTGCGTGCAAGTCAAAATGCTGATATACTGCCTCTCTGTACCAGTTGCTGAGAAGCAAAAGGAGCCTCAAGTCTTACATCCCATTTCCAGTAGCCCCCGTACACATTCGTACACATTCGGTTGGCTACTGTGGGAAATGGGATGTGAGATTAGATAGTCTTTTTATATGCTTATGGAAGTTAACGGCTTTCTGTGAGGAGGCTCCAAAGCTGCTCAACAGATGGGCACTACAAACAAAAACCTGGTCCCTGGAAGCTGTCATCAAGCTGTCGTCTTCTCAAGGTGAGACTCAGAATCAATACCCGTGAGATATCATTCTGCTTCACAAAACAATCTACTCCTTCAAGCACAAGAAGTGCAACCTCAGAGCTGGGAATTCACGTGAGCGCAAATTCTAAAGTTACCCTGATGTCATGGTGCTTATGCCAGTGAATTGCCTGGATCAGTGGCTTTATGGAAGTGAAAACTTAGCCCCTGGTGCATCGTCAAAGCAATCATTGTTGTGACATTCAAAAACACAGGCAAGTCGACGAGCTATGTGCCTCTTAGCCACAGCACTGCTTTCTCCATGCCATTCCATGTCCAGCATGTGCTCATTCACACCCAGCCACCCTGGCATCTGAGTAAGAATAGGGTGCTAGGTGGGATGCAACATCACAAATGGAGCAAGACTGATGACACTCAAAAGAATTTAAAAAAATGTTTCATTAAAAGTCATAGAGTTTTGTGGCCCTTCGATGTGGCAGATTGAATGAGACCATCATTTTTTTAGGGCAAACCCTGCTTCACTTTCTCTAAGGTTTACATCTTTTTCTTGCACATATCTGTTCCACCCTGTTTCTGCATCAGTTTTGAAGTCAGTTTTGAAAATGTGTATATTTAATTAGTTCTTTTTTCAAGCATTGTCCTCTAATGTAGACAAGTTTCCACAATATTTTTTCCTAAAGTACATATTGTATACTTATTTATTGATCAAAAGAGTGTATCTTAAAGTTCAAAGAGGTGCAACACCCAATGGATAATTTTGTTCTGATCTGTGTCTTACTTTGGAAGTGTGAATAGGATGGTTCAAATTAAGAGACTTTCTTTTCTTTCTATAAAGAATATAGACACACGCATCTGCATCACCAGAATCCCATATACACCTCAGGCCATAATACTAGCCCTGGTGCCTTCATTTTGCTAACTTCATCTCTCATAGTGTCCTTCTCATTCTTGAAATTCTGAAGAAAGGAAAATTTCTAATGCATATATATGAAATATGAACTTATTCTCTGTAAATTCTTAGATAGCCAGAATAGCACCATCCACTCACAGGAGGGAAACATCAGCAGGCTTGGGGAAACTCCAAGGTATGCAGAAATAATGTGGAGAGGCCATAAAGGAGTATCCAAAAACAGCCCAAAGAAAGGATGTGATGATGTGGTGACTAAAACAGTGGAGGAGTGGGAATGGATTATTTTAGGAAAGAGCTTGGCTGGCTGAAGCTCCAAACAGTAGTACTCAATACTACAGTAGTTTGCTGCAGGCTCAGTTTCTTGACTAGAATTGGTTCTGCTTTGGTTCCACTGACAGAACAGAAGCTTACTGGCTTACTGCTATTCAATTCATTCTGTCTCGGGAGCAAAACATGCTGAATCCACTCTCATGCCTCTGATCCTCCATATCAGCCCATCCTCACAGTGACAGTCTCTTTGCAAAGAAGAGACTGTTCCTCATGGGCTAAGACAGCATCTGATCTTACAAATGTGTTGGCTGCTGAATTAACTGCAGGCATCTCAGTGAGATCCTGGCTCTGTGATCTAGTCACCCCATGAAAAAAAAAATAGCCACTCTGATTTAAGAATTCTAAAGTCTTCACCAGGAGAACAGGAGAAAGCTGGCTCCCCCAATAGGCCAGTTTTTCTCAGGAGCTTAGAAGGGGAGAAGCACGGACAATTAGTGGCTAAGCAGAGAGAGGATGCGATAAGGATAAATAAACAACAGATGGGGAAAGGCAGCCAAAGGCCTTAAAATCCCCATCCAGCTCATCCCTTGGAGAACTTTCAGAGTGCTTAACAGAAATGCCAATGAAGCGTTCCAGGCTTTGGCCTGGAAACAAATGTCGGGGACTAATAACGCCCACCACAAAATACGGGCTCCAAAGCTCCAAATTCTTATCCACCCTGGACTAAATTCAAACAAGAGAGGAATTTTCAGTCCCTCCCCTCCCATCCATCTCTGTTACCATTGCCTTTCCCAAAAGCTCTGCCACCCCACCAAATGTAAAAAAACCCAACCAACCAACCAACCAACCAACCAACTGATAAATCTTTCTTCTGCTATTGATGCTTAGGCTGTGGACAGAGAAAAGTGTTTTGCCTCTTCTTTTCTCCATTGTCCCAACACATTGTCTGGCTGTATGCCAGAAGGACATGGGGAGAGGAAGAGGCAGCACTCCCAAGGGCTTCTGAAACTGCTAGCGGGAGCTGTAGAATATCTCTATTTGGGCCCAGTCAGAATGAAGCATGGCTCTCGCCTAAACTGCGGAGAGAGAGAAAGAACTCAGCCTCCAGCTGTTCCAGCCCAATGTGAGAAAGAGAGGCTAGTCCAAGCTTGGCTGACAGGTAGCTACTTCTTTTATGCAGAGGATAAATTATAGTCAGGATCTGATTTGCAAAGACAGCTGCAACTCCTGAGAATAGGCTCTTGCATGGGCAAGGGGCACTGCCAGCTCCTCTTGTGCCCAGTGCTGTGTGGTATATTTTGAAGTGGAGGTGCTGGAGTCCCCATTGCCTGAGAAGAGAGTCAGTGCGGTATGGTGGTTAAGCGTGTGGGACTGGGACTCAGGCGATCTGGGTTCTAGTCCCCACACAGCCATGAAGCTCACTAGGTGACTTTGAACCAGTGTTCAGCTTCACAGGTTGTTGTTGTAGTGAGGTTAAGACTGAGAGGAGGAGGATTGTGAAAGCCACCTTAAGTTCCTTGGAGGGTGGGCTATAAATAAACTAAATAACCAAATAAAGATGTGTGTCTGCCCCACAGCCCAACATTCAGGTGGTTGTATTGATCCATAACGACCACCCAGTTGTACCTGCTCTCATCTCAGTTGGGTCCTCACTGCCCATTTATGGCCAGGCTACCCCAACATACTTTGCATGACAGCAGGAAACAGTTGCTGTGCCCGTTCTTCCTCACTCCCACCCCACAGCTACTGTGGGGATTAGTGCTAAGCTCCCAGAGAAAGGGGAAATCTGAGGGGTGGTAGGAGACTATGCTGGTGCCCCTGCTCCATCCCATCCCAGAAGCTTCATCCCTTAAAGCCTTGGCTCCATTACACCATTGCTTCCATCTCTTGTAGAGGAGCATGAGCCATGCAAGGAGAAGCCAGTAAGCTTTTGTCTCATGATGGTTGGCAGGAGCATTTCCATCCCATGAGTTAGAGAAGGACAGTTATGAATGTGGTGCAAAAGTTAGCATGCCTTGTGTTTTTAAGGGTAACACAGAATACATGGGGGTTGATTATAATACAGTAATATGGCTACTGTTCTGATTTTTTTAAAATATTCAGTTATAGAGGGATTCAGAAAAGTGATTGACAAGGACGCTTTCATTCTGTGGCTTTTCTTCCTGCATTTTTTATCCTTCATATCAAACACCCCTAATGTTTGCACTTTCAAAAAGCACAGGAAAGCAAAAACAGGGTTTTTTGCTTGAGATTTGTTTCCTAGCATCCGAAAACTCATTGGATAACCAAAAAAGCAAGAGAATTTGGCATCTTGCTGCAAGTGATTGCAATCATGATATAGCAAATGGTATGCAGCTAGCAGCTGCTGTAACATACAAGAAATAAAGAAGCAGCAGCTACCAAAATCTTTTAAGCCAGGATGACAATGCAAGAGAAGCAGCATTCTAAATGTGCTACAGAAGATTTAAGTCCTCTTTCTTCACTTGGAAACTCCAACAATAATATAAAAGAAGTTCCAGTGCTCCTTATTTGATCTCCTACCAGACATTTCAATCTTGCCAAGCTACTTTCGATCAAAGTGTTTTGACAAGCATAAAGCTGAAAGAGACCGACCTTAAACACTTCCAGTTCCTCTAAGATGAGTTCTCCACTTGCAGAGAAGTTGGTGGGCAGGACCACAACCTTCTGTACTGTGCCCTTGTCTGGAATACAGGAAAAGGAGCCAGGGAAGAAAAGGAAGGCCATGGTGGGAAGGGAGGGGGAACAAAAACAGAAGACAAGAATCAGACCATATTCAGGAAAATTTCACAATGAAGAAAAGAGTAGACGAAAGAGCATTTCATCAATGCACTTGAGTGGCACAGACCAAAGCAAAGAGTCAGCAGAACTTGCTGCTTCTGGGCAGTAGCAGCAGCTTCGATGAGCTTGGAAAGCACTGCAAAAGTTGCTTCTCTGGGGCCATTACTTTGGATACAAGTAGTTGATACAGATGTGCTTGGTTCTGGATGCTGCCTCCACCTCCCTCGGTAGACAGACCACTCAACTGTAGTTCTGGTCAATTAGCTTTTATCATGAAGAACTTACAGACAAACAAGCATGGCCTTAAGCTACAGACTAAAATCCCCGTGCAAGCTATGAAGACAAAGGATCAAAGCTGGTGCATGTTGATGGTACTTCTCTAAGCTCTGGTGGGATTTTGAGGTGACAGCTTCATAAATGGAAGCAGACACAAAATGATGCTGGAGGATTACAGTCCATCTTGTTCAGGCTTCTTGTTCAAGACCCACATCTGGGCAACTCTTGACTGCCAGACACTAGGAATGATATGCTACACAAGTTGAATTTGCATTTGATGCCTGACTCTTGGATCTCTGGCTCCCTCCTCCTCCTCCTCCACCCTTTCACTAGATTTTGACTAAAGGAATGTTCTGGGCAGGGGGGGAAATTGCTCTCTTCCCCTCTCTTTCTGTGAATGTGTGTATGGCTGCCAGTCTGTACAGTCCGAACAGTTTCTGTTCCCAACTTCACAAAGATTTCAATAGTCCCTAGTTTGATGCATCAGATCCTTCAAGCAAAGCCATGCAGAGTCAGACACATGGTTTGTGAATGAAGCTATGCTGGTTTGGGTCCCCAGGGATGGCCCCAGCCTGAATGAAAAGAAGCCTGGGCAAATAAAATATTCTTCGCCTGGTACCTCGAAGACTTCAAAGGTGGAACCAGAGGAGCCTCTCTGAGGAGGGCATCCTGCAACTTGGGCCACCACTTGAGTAGCCACTGACCTCAACTGACCTGGGGAACGGCCACTAAAGCGGAGCCTAAAGTCCAGATAGGTCTACATGGAAGAATACAGTCTCTCTGAAAGTCAGTTTCTTAAGGAACAATCCCATGCAAGTTTAGACAGAAAAAAGCCTACAACACCCAGAATGCCCCAACAAGCTCTGCTTGCAAAGGATTGAGCCCTTATTCATTTATCTACTATATCAAACTGAAACACAAGTTCAAGAAAAGCCTTTACCTTTTGTTAGATTTGTTTGTTTGTTTGCTTGTTTGTTTGTTTGCCACCTGATGGTTGAAACTCTCTGGGCAGTTTACAACCATCCATAAAAACAAGGCAATAAATACAATAAAATATTATACTTTTTAAAAAGCTGAAAAAATCAGAATTGCACAGGTGAAGTAAAAAATAAAGGTCATGTGAAAGATGCATTGTCTGAAAAACTGGAAGAAACTCATTCCATTTCCTATTCCTTACAAACATGGCAGCCAGATCACTATATGTTGTATATTATTGAAAAGAAAACTAAGACACCCTTGACAGCCTTAACAAGTGAGGGACTCTTCTTTACATATACATTAGCCATCAATTTTCATAGGGATCTTTGCTGCAGCAACCTATCATGCATCATGTCATATAAGTTATTCCACTTATTTGCATGGAGATAGTCTTCTAAAGTGAATTTTAGAGTGACCGCCACCCACAAGGGAAGCCAATGTAAATGGACCATGAAGAAAAATAATCGGAGAAACTGAGGAAGGGCTATATTAAAGTACTTGACTGATCCACATCCTGAAATCCTAGCATTTACTGACATTTTCTTGTAAGCTAGGTTTCACCCAGGAAATCATCTGCAGTAATAAAAATATGGCGAGAGATAGGCATACAAAGAATAGTTTGGGGAAGTAAACAAGCAAATAGCAGGCTCTCTGAAGGCTTCCCCCCCCCCCCCGCATAATCATGGACAGGAAGTGAATGAGCTAAACTTTGCCTGCCCACAGTCTGTAGCCCACTCAGGCTTTCCCACAAGGGCTAATTTCGTAACACCCCCCCACCCCCCCACCACACACAGAGCCTGTTCACACCCATGGTTTCCACATAATTCACTTATAGCACTGCAGTGTGACTAATTCAGGGCAATTTGGAGTGTGACAAGGGTGTTATTTCAGGTCTGTGGTAAGCAGTGTGCCAGGTTAGGGATACGCAAGGGAGCCAGTGGGGGCAGTGGATTGGTTTGCCCAGTTTCTGGCACATCAACCCAGTGGTGCCAACCTGCTCTGACCTAAGTTGAGCCACCATCAGGACTTAAACTTGTAAAGCAGGCTGTAATGTGCACCGTTTGGTTTGCAGCCAGAGAAATTTGCATAAAATACAGCTGCAAATGGCCCAAATTGCAAATCGCAAATGGCCCAGAAAAAGATCTTGGCCAACTTGCCTGGCTTTAAAGGAAAATGCAACTTGTGGTCCCCTGCAAATGAGGAAGCTGTGAACCCGACTCAGCCACTTTTGGTTCTCATGTTGGTAAGACGCTGAACACCCGCAAAGTGCAAGTGGGTCAAGTTTCTCAGGGTGTCCCATGCTTGGGTCAGCTTTTATTAAGCAGGCCTAATCACAGCAAGGTGGAAAAGTCTTGCTCTCAGATTAAGTCAAGATCAAGTTAAAGAAACAAGCAGCTGTATTTTACGATCCCCAATATTAATTAATTAAATAAAAGGCAATGCTTTATTTATGGTGGGAGTGATTTGAATAGATACCTCTGAATGCAGCCAAGTTTTGTGCTACATTCCAGCACAGTTCTATTTCCCCCTTCAAAAGTTCTCCTGGTTTTTCTGTGCTCCACCCAATTGGACCAAAGTCTTGTGACATATGTTGAAGTGGCTCCAAAGCTATAATCACTTTGCCAGTCTACGCCTCCCTTCAACTCAGTGACTCCTCTGTCCTGTTGTTCTGTGAACAACACCCACTTTCTTCTGGTCAGACATGCCCAACCACTACAAGTTCAACTTAAGTTTAAGAAATGGCTAACTTGTTAGCAAGTATTTTGCATGTAAGTGTGAACAGTGTGTCCACAATTGTTGATTAACAACAACTGTAGAGTGAAGGCTGCAAAACAATCAGGAAGCTTCTATTTCATGTGGCACCTCTGCCATGAATTCAATGAAGTGCCTTGGGCAAGCTCTTATTCTGCAGCCTAAGTCACTCATCTGTAAAACAGCAATTGAAATGCTGCCCTATAGTCCATGCTTCTTGTAAGTAACATGGATATAAAGTGAGTATGGAGACTCTGAAACACTGTGTAGATGCTATGTATAACTAGCATTATTATGAATTCCATGCTTTCTTATGAGAATGTGAAAAGAAGCAGAAGAAATGGGAAGTTTTAAAGTATACAGCCAAAAGACTAGGAAACGGAACAAACAGATGTAATGAAAGGCAGGATGAGGCAAGGAAAAAACAGATGAGAAATCTAAATATTGAGCAATATCTTCAACATATACAAGAATGTCCTATAAGAATTATGACTGTTTACATCGAGCAAATGTATGATTCACAGCACATATAAGACTTAGGTAGTACAAGATGTCTGGCAGCTTCACAATACATTCAAACATCTAATTCAAGAATAAGGTTTAGATCTGTCCATATTTATTTAATATAAGCTAGCCAAGAAAGAACATTCTAGTCACTACTATAAACTTCAAAAGAGAGCTTTCACAACAGACCTATAAACGCCATCCCCCAAAACAAACAAGTAAGCAAAAGACAACAACTGAAAGGGCAAGCTGTCCACATCATAAAAACCACCACCACAATTGTAATAAGTACTCCAGATGACAGTTTTATGGAGGGGCGTCTTCCTTTGAGGTGGCCCCTCTCTTTTTTAGGGATGAGATAAACTACAAGTATAATTCTGGCTCTCAAAAATGCATGTAATGTACACATCTAGATCAGACGAGGTCTGATCTCAAGGTCAAGAAAACAAAAAGAGAAGGAAATGAAAGGCCGAAAAATAAGCTTTCTCCCTAAATTCTGCTCAAAATCATGTATGCCAAAGGATAGCACAATGATCCTTCTGGGGTGGCAGGACACTATCTCTAACATCTTGTACATTTCAAGAGAATGCCAATTTTATTTAAAAAAAACACAACTTTTGTGCTGCCCGCAAAGTTGTTGAGTTGTTTCTCATCTGGAACCCTCACATTGATTTCAATAATTCAGTTCAAGTGCAACTGAGTACCAAATTGGAGATGAATGTGTTGTTGTGAGAAATTTTAAAAGACTTAGCAAACTCTCCTTCTTTCCAATTTTAGCCAAAATGGAAGGGTTCTGTTGAGGAAAACATCCCCATTATTTCAAGGAAAGCAAAATGAGTTCAGATAAGCTTAGCAACATTTCTTGGTGGTGGAACAGATGTGGTGATAAGCCTTTAATGTACCTTTTCATGTATGAGCTGTATAGTTAAGACAATTTGATTGAAGTTATTGTGAAAGCTCCACCATGTCCCACGAAGGAAAACACTTGGTGACCAACAACCCAAGAATGGTGTAGCACTACGGAAGCATTATGTTTTCACAGAAATGAATCCCCATGAGGGGAGGACAGGGCTGTTCTTTCTGGCAGAACCAACCACTTTGTCCTCAGCTGGTCCTACTCCCTGCCTTTTACATCAAGTGGGAGAAGTCTGCAGCCTAGGACCTTTTCTGCAGATCTCCTTGTTAGGATTAGGATTTCAAATTGCACTGGAGGATTACATGTGAGAGAACATTATCCTCTACACAAAACTCTGTGCCCCTCTAGGTGACAGCAGTGTGATGGAGGGGCAGAGAAAGACTTAATCCCTGTGTGTGTGGCCTCCTTGAACATTTTGAAGCAGGATGGAAGAATCTGTCAACTTCAGTTTCATCATTTTCCACTTTAAGCTTGCTT